GCAACTTGGAATGCCAGAGGGTAATAGAGGCTTAGGTGCAATTTTGAGCTATGGGTTTAGGATTGCTCGACATGAAAGTTCCCTAGGTTATGTCTCCACGTAAAGCGCGGACATTGTCAGCTTGCTGATTGGTTCAGTGTTTGTCGGCTAAGTCCCTAACCCATAGGCGCAAAAGCTTTGAACTTCCTGCATTCCTAAGTACTGACAACCCGAGCCTTTCAGGCTTCAGTAGCACTGTTGAATTTGGTCTTTATAGTAGTCTTACAATGATAATATGTATATACACCTACGCATTTCTGGCTGGGGGGGGAGGGGCTCGGAGATTTCGGAACGCACCCTGCGCCTTTATTGACAGCATTTCGGAGGTGGGTCCGACGCAGCCATTATGGCTCCCCCCAGCAGCCTGACAGCGAAGGCTATGCAAAAGAATGTGATGCTAAACCCTAGAACCCTAGAACCCTAGAACCCTAGAACCCTCGAACCCTAGACCCTAAACCCTAAACCCTAAACCCTAAACCCTAAACCCTAAACCCTAAACCCTAAACCCTAAACCCTAAACCACCCAAAAAAAATCCTGAAGTCCCTCTGCGGCATGCTCCGGGTGCACCTGGCCAGCGGCAGCGTGGTGGCAAATCTCAGCGCCGAGGAGCTCGCCGGCCTCGCTTCGAAGCACGGCAGTGTCTTGGTTTAGGGTTTAGGGTTTAGGGTTTAGGGTTTAGGGTTTAGGGTTTAGGGTTTAGGGTTTAGGGTTTGGGGTTTGGGGTTTGGGGTTTGGGGTTTGGGGTTTAGGGTTTCACCCTAACCCCTAAACCCTAAAACCGAAACCCCAGACCCTAAACCCGACAGACCGGAGCACCCTTAGCAACCCCAATAGGAAAGCTTATCAGCCAGACGAACCCTGCAAACCTTGAGCAAAACATAAACCTATAGGCCCTAAACCCGAGACCTTCAACCCTAAACCCTCTAAACCCTCTAAACCCTCTAAACCCTCTAAACCCTCTAAACCCTCTAAACCCTCTAAACCCTCTAAACCCTCTAAACCCCCTAAACCCCCTAAACGCTAAACCCTAAACCCTAAACCCGGAAGTTCTGGTGCCATCAGGTGTGACGGGGGGGCTGAGGCGGCACCTTGCCCATGTGGCCCTTCGCTTGCAGTTTGTTTAGGGTTTAGGGTTTAGGGTTTAGGGTTTAGGGTTTAGGGTTTAGGGTTTAGGGTGTAGGCTACAGGGAGGTTTCGGGTTTAGGTTTGGTAGGCGAAGGTTTTTTGAGCGACGCCTTGAATCAGAAACCAGCCCTGGGAACCCATTCTTGTTCATAAGCCTCCTTCATAGAAGCATAAGCCCGACAAGCACACGCCCTAAGCCCTAAACCCTACACCCACCGAACCCACAAAACCAACTTTCTAAACCCCTAAGTCCAGAAGCCCTAAACCCCAAACCCCAAACCCAAACCCCAAACCCCAAACCCCAAACCCCAAACCCCAAACCCCAAACCCCAAACCCCAAACCCCAAACCCCAAACCCTAAACCCTAAACCCTAAGCTCAGACTGTCGAGCTGCATTGGCGTTCAGGTTGCGCGGCCTCACGTCACCCTCCGCCTGCTCTCCGACCACGTGCTGCTGCTTGTCCATCTCCGGACTTCGGTTTTCAGGGTTTAGGGTTTAGGGTTTAGGGCTTCGGGTTGTGGTCTGGGGTTTGGGGCTTAGGTTCTTGGGTGTAGGGCTTATATAAGGTTGATAGTTTTTTTTTTTTTTTTTTTTTTTTTTTTTTTTTTTTTTTTTTTTTTATCCTTTTAGGGCTTAGTGCAAGTCTGGCAGTTGAATAAAGCTTCAATGCGTCCTTGAAACCCTAAACCCTAAACCCTAAACCCTAAACCCTAAACCCTAAAACCCTAGGACCCTAAACCCTAAACCCTAAACCCTAAAGCCCTGCTCTGCTAAGGCTCGACGTGGACGAGGTGGAGCTGCCCTGTACGCTGCAGCTGGTGCCTCGCACCGAATTAGGGTTTGGGGTTTAGGGTTGAGGGTTTAGGGTTTAGGGTTTAGGGTTTAGGGTTTGGGGTTTGGGGTTTAGGGTTTGGGGTTTAGGGTTTAGGGTTTAGGGTTGAGGGTGAAGGATTTAGAGTTGAGGGTTTGGGTTCATCGGGTTTGTAGGGTTTCTAGGGCTTCTAGGGTTTGTAGAGTTTATGGGGTTTACAGAGTTTACAGGGTGCATAGGGTGTATATAGGGTTTATAGGGTTTATAGTGTTTGTAATGTTTATAGTGTTTATAGGGTTTATACGGTTTATTAGGGTTTATAGGGTTTATAGTGTTATAGGGTTTAGAGTGTTTAGAGTGTTTATAGGGTTTATAGGGTTTATAGTGTTTATAGGGTTTTTAGGGTTTGGGGTTTGGGGTTTGGGGTTGGGGGTTTAGGTCCTTGATCGTCTTTACTCGGGTTCAACTGACCCGCTCAGGTCCTCCTGCCCCACCGAGCTGCTGCGCTCGCCGACGCGCAGGAGCGGTTTAGGGTTTGGGGTTTGGGGTTTAGGGTTTCGGGTTTAGGGTTTAGGGTTTAGGGTTTAGGGTTAGGATTCAAGCGTTCCTTCCGAGTTCAGCAGCTCTCAGGATTTGCGGTTTCGCGGTTTCGTGGTGTAGGGTTTAGGGTTTAGGGTTTAGGGTCTAGGGTCCAGGATCTAGGGTCTAGGGTTTAGGGTTTAGGGTCTAGGGTCCAGGATCTAGGGTCTAGGGTTTAGGGTCTAGGGTCCAGGGTCTAGGGTTTTTAACGGTTCGGACAAGAGCCATTCGGCGCGTTGCTGATTCGTCTAGGGTTTAGGGTCTAGGGTCTAGAGTTTAGGGTTCACGGTTTGGAATTGAGGATTTAGGACTTGGCGTCGGGGTTGAGAGTGCAAACAGAAGGTGTGAGCTTGGGCTGCGGCATTCAGGGGTTTAGGGCTTTGGGGGGGGGGGGGGGGGGTGTTGAGGATTTGAGGTCGTGAATTGTGAAACCCTAAACCCTAAACCCTAAACCCTAAACCCTAAACCCTAGCATCCGGAAATCCCTCTCGGTGCGCTTCGCGCCGATGATGCTCAGCGCTAGAACCGCAGACCCTTCTGGGCTGCTTATGACCTTTGAGGGTTTCGGGTTTAGGGTTTAGGGTAACCCTCCCGAAGCCCAAAAGCCACAACCAAGAAACTCTAAGCCCAAAACCCTGAGCCCTGAACCTTAAACCCCTAAACCCAAGCCCTACCAAAGCCTCAAGCCCCTGGCCCCTGGTTGGAGGTTCATGGTACTTATTCACCAGCTATAACTGTGCTTATAACCCACTCGTAAGCCCCTAAGAGGTGTCCTAACATGGTTACAAGTACAGTCATAAGCACGATTATACAACCCTAAACCCTCAACCCTAAACCCTAAACCCTGTTATGTTCTTTGGGTGTTGAGGAGCTGGTCTGTGCAGCTGGAAGGGACGACCTCCTTGCGCTGTCCGACCTCCTGCATTGGCCGGTGCCTGGGACACGTTTAGGGGTGGGCGGCATTTGGAGTTTGGTGGTTAAAAGTGGTTCGGAATTTCGGGTTTAGGGTTTTAGGGATTTAGGGTTAGGGGTTTGGGGTTTAGGGTTTGGAATTTTGGTTTGGGGGTTTAGGGTTTCTGGTCGTCAGCTGCATTTAAGTTTTACCGTGAAGGGTTAAGCTTCGGGCCTCGACTCCCGGCCCAAAAACATGGTGCCCGAAGCCCTAAACCCTACTTAGTAGCTGGGTAAGTACACTTTATACTTTTTGGGGTATTATAATTCCCTAGAGAACTGAAAGCGTACATTTTTGGGGGGCTTATGAACTCAGCAACTAAACCTAAGCCCTAAACTTACCTTCAACTCTACACTCTTCTCCTCAACCGCTGCGATTCTATGAAGCTCTCTTACCCACTTCTCGGGTCTTGGGGATTTTTTGTAGTCAAACTGACACCAACAGGGCACCCTTCTAGAAGTCCCTCTAAGGCCCCCCCCCCCCCTTGTGTTTCTAGGTAATACAGGGGTCGGAAAAACCACGAATAGTGTTCCCTTATGGTCACTCCAAGCCTAAATTTTAACAAGGCCCAAGACATACACTCCTAAACCCCGAAAGTACCAAAGCCCCTAAACCTTAAACCCTAAAACCTAATCCTACACCCTAGACCCAAAACCCTAAACCCTAAATCCCAAACCCCAACCCCAAACCCTAAACTCCTAATCCTAAACCCTAAACCCTAAACCCTCCTAAACCCTAAACTCCTAATCCTAAACCCTAAACCCCAAACCCCAAACCTGAGGTCGATCCCAACCTGGTCGATGACCAGGGCGACTTCGCGTTGCTGCGGGCGGCCTTCCACGGGCACACGGAATGCGCGTCGCTACTCCTGGAAGCAGGCTGGGGTTGAGGGTTTAGGGTTTAAGGTTTAGGGTTTAGGGTTTAGGGTTTAGGGTTTAGGGTCTAGGGTCTAGGGTTTAGGGTTTAGGGTTTAGGGTTTAGGGCTTAGGCTTTTGGGTTCTATGGTTTGGGGTTTAGGGTGTAGGTTTTGGGGTTCGGGGTTTTGGAATTTTGTGTTTAGGGTTGGGTTGGGGTCTAGGGTTTGGGGTTTCGGGATTAGGGTTTAGGGTTTAGGGTTCACAGTGTATGGTTTAATTGGTTTGGTGTTTAGGGGTCTTTGATATTGAAGGGTTGAGTATCTAAGGTTCAGGGTTTGTGGTTTGTAGGAGATGCATGCGGAGATTCTCTGCAAACGCGTTCTGAAAGCTCGTGGTTGGAGTTTAGGGTGTAGGGTTGATCTGTCAGGTGTGCTGGTCATCCAGCTGCGGTTTAGGGTTTAGGGTTCTCGGCCCCAAAAGCGCTACAAAGCCCTTGCGCATTGTCAGTCAGGTATGGGTACCCTGCGACAACTCCTGTGCGGGCAGACAGCCCAGCAGAATACAGTGAGCCAGTCATGAACCCCAAACCCTAAACCAGTACTTAAACTGCTGAGTTGCTTCTAGTCATATGGGGC